AAACTTGGAAGAGAGTTTTGCTGGGTATAGTAGTCTGGGCTGGAATTTGTTTTCATAGAGGACTTGAAGTACTCTCCTCCATGCTCTTCTTGCCTTCATGGTTTGTGAAGAGAAGTTGGCCGTAATTCTGATGGGTTTTCCTTTGAGTATGATCTGCTTCTTTTCTCTAGCGGCTTCAGTATATTATTCTTGAGCTGAATTTCTGGGATGTTGACTATTATATGTCTCAGTGTGTTTTCAATGGGATTGGGGTTACTTAGCATTCTATATGCTTCGGTTACCTGAATATCAGATTGTTTCCTCATATTTGGGAAGTTTTCTGCTATTACTTCTACCCATATTTTTTTAATGTCATTTGTATTGTGTCCTTCTTTCTCATTGATGCCTATTAGTCTCACATTGTTCATCTTTGCATCATCTTGCTGGTGATGGGTTATTTTTTCCTGCATCCTAGTTGTTTTTAAGGGATCCTTTCTTACCTTTTCACTGTGTGCACCAGTGTCTTCAAGATCTGAAACTCTGTCTTCACTTTCACTTAAATGGTTTGCAAGCTTGTGATTGAGATTTTAATTTCCTCTATATCTCTTTGACTTTTCTTCTTGCGATCTATTTCTTTCCTGTATTGCTCATTCAAGGAATCCATCATTTTTCTAATCTCCTCTATTTTTTTTAATCAATGTCTTCTTTAGAAGCATTAATTCTTTTACTGCATTGTTTTTTTCAGATTTGGTTTCCTTCCTATGTTTCTGTAGTTGATCCTTTACTTCAGGTGCTTTGAGTTCCAAGAATTCTTTTCCTATTTCAGAAAATTCCACTCAGAGTTCTTCTATGACTTTCTGCTGTTGCTTATTTACAATCGACACTATTAATTCATACATTTGAGCTGAGCCTGTGTCCTCTGCACTTGTTCTGGGTGGGCTTTGGGTTTCCTCCATATGTTTCTGCATTTCATTCTTTACTGCATGTTATTAATTCAGGGATTTCTTTTTTCATTTCCAATCTGAGTTTCTCTATACCTTTCTGCAGCTGTTTCTTTATTTCAGAAGCCGTTGATTCATTGCTTTCAGCTGTCTGATTCCCAATTTGTTCTGTGTTAGTGTCCTCTGCACTTGTTATGGGTGGGCTTGGGTTCTGAGATTGCATTTTGCTCCTTCTTGTTGTCATTTTGTGTAGCAGTGTCTTCTGATGTTTGTTGTAGATCTTTCGTGCAGTTATAGCCTTAGCACCTACTGAAGTTCAGGTGCAGATCTACAAAGTTTGGATTTATCCAGTTGTGCCTGGCTTGGGTCTGGTTGCTGTGCTTAGCTCCTTCCTGCTGCTGCCCTTGGGGTGTACCTGTTGTTCCTCTCTGGCAAGATGTTCTGCTCCTGGACTAGCTGAGTGGTTCTGTCCCCTACACTCTCTGCAGGGATTGCAGCTGCAGGGTTTCACCCCAGCCTATATGCCAGGCCTCAGCTGAGTCTGGAGGGGACAAGGTGGGGTAGGGGGAGAGGCAGCTCTCCCACACACTCACCGGGCCTGGTCTAGGACTGGATCTAGGGGTTCCCTGGACGCGACAGAAATTCCTACTCAGTGGGTGGGGAGGGGGGCTACTACAGAGTGGTGGGGGGCATCCCAAGGGAGTGAAAGAGGGTCTTACCCATGCTGTGCCTGGGCTGGGCCCAGTAGGTCCCGCTGGCACAGGGTAGCAGGAAGCTCTCCCACACACTCACCGGGCTTATGCTAGGACTGGATCTAGGGATTCCAGAACATGGAAGAAATTCCTACTTGGTGGATGGGGTGGGGGCAGTGCTGTGGAGTGGTGGGGGCTGTCCCAAGGGGGTGGAAGAGGGTCTCACCCACGCTGCGCCTGGGCTGGGTCCAGTAAGTCCCACCTGCACATTGTAGCCGGAAGCTCTTGGACACACTCACCAGGCTTGTGCTAGGACTGGATCTGGGGGTCCCTGGAACATGGCAGAAATTCCTACTGGGCAGGTGGGGTGGGGGAGGTGCTGTGGAGTGGTGGGGGCCGTCCCAAGGGGGTGGAAGAGGGTCTCATCACTCTGTGCCTGGGCTGAGACGGCAGGTCCCGCAGGCGCAGGGTAGCCGGAAGCTCTCCCACACACTCACTCCTGTGGTTGCTTTTTGAAGTCTTATTCTTTTGAAATACATGTTGAACTATACATAGTTGAAATTCTTTATGTATGGGATCTTGTTTTTAAAATAATCCTACATAAGGGAGGGAGGAAAGGCTAAAGTACAGATGAAACAAGATTAGCTGTATATTGGTAAATTAAGCAGTATTTCATTAAAAGCCTTGACAGTGATATTCTAACTCTGTAATTCCTTCTGCATTCATTCATTTGAATTGTTCTACACAGAAGAACTTTGCTTCGTGAGTTATCTATCATGTCTTTATGGGTCATCTATCCTGTCCTGCTCATACATAAAAGAAAAGAAGCTCTTTTCTTTTATCCGAAAACTGAATTTATTCCTATGTGGCCTTGGAAGAGAGCCAATAAACTTCTGTGCTCTTGTTGATCTTTTATAATGATTTATACTTTTAGCACCCTATCACAGTCCTCCCAACAAGTGTGTTACTAGTGCTCTAAAACCCCAGCCCTCAAGGTCTCTGCGAGGCTCTAATCGGCCCAGAGTAGGCCCACAGAAGCCCCTTCAAGTTGCTATCTATTCTCTTGTTGTAGCAAATGTTTTTATTTAATTGAGTCACTTGTGGAGGCCACATGCAGAGACAAACAAGCCAGCAGTAGTCACCCCATACATGAGCCAACACCGAGCCTGAAGGGCAATAGGGGAGAATATTTATGCAATTCTAATTCCAGGCCTAGTTCCAGGCCTAGGGGTGAGATTAGGTTTTTCCTGATATGATTTAGTGCAGCTACAGAAATACTCCTACAATGCATGGGCTTAACCTGCATAAAGGAAGGAAAGTGTTTGACGTTTTACATAGGGGACAAGTGGTCTTATGACAAAGCATAGGGTGGTGTCAGGCTAGGTTATGAAACAAACTGAAGGAAACAGAAACAAGTTTAAAATGGCACTAGAGTACACAGTGGCGTTGGTTTAGTTCTCGTTCCTATTATTGCTCTTGATGCAGCTCTCTTAGGTTTTGCTATCTTCTTGCTTCTTGGGTCCCCTGGATGTTTCAGACTCTGCGCTACATATCTGAATCATCTACTTCTTTGAATTCTGAAAGGCTACCTTTTATGCTGAGAGGGTACAACACTGCACTCACAGTGCTGAGAAGGCAAATGACTCTCTTTGGCATTTCAGAAGAATTTGCTAGTTCTGTGAGGCACAGATAGAGTTGGGCCATGCTGGAGAAACCAAATAGGAATGTAGTGAAGGTGAGCTCAGGAAGCAGGTATCAGTTAGGGCTATTCTGTAAAAGTGATGACGACTGACTTACATACCCTAGGACATGGTAGCAGACAAGAGGACTCCATATCCATATCTGCTTCTTAAATGGATGGATAGTGTTGCCCTTCTTAAAGGAAAAGGAGCAGGCTGGGGATGCCTCTTGCATACATTTGGGTGGCACAGCCCTAGAGGCATCTTTGGACCTCTAGGGGGAGAAGTGCAGTAAACAAGAGTGTAAGGAGCCATGGAGTACTCTAGGTCAGTGCTAGAAATGCAGCTTATAAAAGAGTGTGGAAGTTAGACTGTGGGCTGTAATGGTTTCTCTTAGGAGATGTCAAAGGGGAAACAGAAGGCCATGGAGAATCTGGCATAGCTAGATGGAATTCCTGGGATGAGAAATCTTATCTAGACTACCATGAGTCTATGAGCAGTACTCAAAAATCACTCTGGTTTTATTTATTTGTTTTGTTTTACTTCTGCTTTTTCTTCTATAATATAATAATACCTTGCTAACTAGTAAACACAGAGAGATATGAGGCTGGTTTGGAAAACAAGAGGGGGCAGTTTACATCCCACACTTAGACATGATTATCATTCATATTCCCTCTGATACTCCTGGAGAAGTAGGTGGCAGTTCTGAAATTTTCTATCCAGCCTGCACCGTTAGTTGTTGCTCCTGTCTCTGCCACAGCCTATCAGATCTGCCAAGCCGATCTCCATGGAGCAGCTGCCTGTGAATAAAGGGAGCGGTCAGGCGTATGGCTACATACTTTATGAGACTGCCATCAGCAAAGGAGGCTTCCTTACCTCAAGGGGCCATGTTCAAGACCGGGGGCAGGTAAGGGACTGCAAACAAGTGGCGCATGTCTGTTGATTACCCAACTACTGCTGAGGTGAATGTCTAAACAGTGGTCAAATGCTATTGCTGCTGTGTCTCTGACATGTGTGGATACCCGCAGAACATTCGTGGACCTTCAGGGAGCCAATGGTAAAGCTTACGTAGTCCCCATAATTATTGCATGTCAACTCCTAATGTTTACATAGCATATTAACAACTAGATTATTTCTTAACCTTTGAAATACTTATCTGATATATTTATTACAAACAAGGGAACCTCACAGAAATTAAGTGAGTTTCAAATGATATTCAACTAGAAGGGTTCAGAGCTGAACTGGTAGGCTTCATCTTATTCCAGGCTAACAGCTCTTTTTCACAGGGCTTGATTAAAATTACTTGCTCTTCAAAATTTCCATGTCATCTTTTTCCAAGCCTTTGAGAACAAATTGGGCATCCCTCATCTAAAAATCCATAATCTGTTGTACTAAAAAATCTAAAACATTTTGGGTGCTACCGTCATGCTCAAAAATTTTCAGATTTCAGATTTTGGGATTAGGGATGTTCGTCTCCTAAAGGTTTTACAAGTATGGTGATATCTTGGTTGTCAAACATGTTGGAAATAAACTCCCAAACTCATTTGTCTGTCTAGACGATAAAGCACTCAGCTATCAAGAAGTCTGGACAAGATGTTTTACTTCTGTAGGAGGGCACAGGCTTGTGGTAGTGGGTGTGCAGGGCAGAGGAGGGCTGCCCCTTTTTTCCCTGATGCTGGAGAAGCAGCTGACCTTTAAATTCATTGGCTGAATTCAAAGGCTTGTAATTTACCAGAGTTGACTAACTCGAGAGGTGGTGGGAGCATGGTCGAAGCCTGTGGGGACAGATGTCCTTGGTTCTTGTCATAGGACCCAGTTGTGTTTTGGGGAAAAGTACATAGTCACTATTTCTTGGAGCTCAGGGTTTTAATGGGGCAGAGGGAAGAGTGAGTAGACAGCTACATCAGTTAAATCCAAAATAGAGTTGTTTGGGCCTTGTGCTTTGTCAGAAAAGACAGAGCTTATTTCTCACAAATGGCTCCAAGCTCACACTTTCCACTACTGGAACAGCAAAGTTAGAGAAACATCTGCTTGGTGTCCATACATTTGCTTGATAGTTGGGCCAAAAATCTGACTTGAAAAAGCCTGTGTAAGCCGAAAGTGAGTCGTGTGTCGTGTCTGACCTTGGACACAAAGGAACAATGCTTCAGTCTAAGCAACATGTTGTGCTGTGTTAGTGCTATAAAACATTCATCACTGTGCTTTTGTTTTGCACTTTATTTGCATAAAATATTGTAACCTTGGCTCCAAAGCAAGTTAGTGATATCAGCAATTGAGCTAAGAAGAAAAGAGTGAAAACCACAATAGAGTTAAAGAAAGAAGTCATTGCATAATTTGTTAAAGTGCTAGAACAATAAATTTGTACTTAGTTTTGAGGTCTCAGAACCCACTATTTGGTTTTTCATAATTTCTTATGGAAAAAATATGCTCAATTCTTGAACTTCCTGGTGTTCAGTTAGGAATTTGGAATGAGCTGAGTCTGTTCACTGAGGTATCATTATATTTCAAAGTTCTAAAAATTCCAAAATCTGAACTATTTCTGGTTCCACACACTTCAGATAGGGATGCTGAACCTGTGCTTCTGCTTTTGTGACTCCAGCCTTCATCTCCTTTGTGGAAGAACCGTATTTGTCATCACCTACTGGACATGTACATCATTTGGTGTGTGTCCCATGGACTTCCCCAACTTAACATGTTCTAAACCAAATGCTTTATCTCCCTAAGGAAACCACATATTTGTTCACGGATTCACCACCTCCCAACAGCGCACTGTTCACACGCTTTCCTTCCTTTTGCCTTGGCTTCCTTGTTTTCAGCAAGGTCCTGTGTGGTGCATTCATCAGTTATTCTTAAGACATTCAGGCCACTATTGCCTTAGTTTCATCCCTATGTCTCTTGTCTACTATTCTTAGAACCTCACAGCTGAGCATCTTACCTCTGACTGTTCACCCTCATCCACTGTCTCACTGTCTTCCCTGCCACCCGTCTCACGGTGCCCTCAGGATTTCCTGCCCCAAGTAGAAGCTCAGCCTGCCACTTCTCTACTACCTCCCTCCAGTGGGTTCACTGGCCACTTCCCCCAAGTCTGCCAAGTAGCCTCATTCTGAAGCTGCTTGGGACTCATTATTCCTTTTTCAGTTCTTTCACGGCAGGCTGTCCACAGATCTGAGGTTGCTAGTGTGGTATGCTCTGATCATTTCTATGTGTCCTTCTCCGTCAAAGTTCATCAATTGTTGCTGTCCTTTAGCATAGATGACATTATTCCAAGGAAATATTTAGTTAGATAGTAGGTATTCAGTGAACAGTCATGAAATATATAAACCTTGTCATTAGACTCTAGTGAGCTTAAAATGCAAACTCTGTATTTAATTTATTGATATTTTTATGTTGCTAATGCTTGTAGATTTTTAACTTTAGTTCATTAGTCAAATTTCACTTAAAATTGTATCATAGATCATAATAAGTTATTCATCCTTATCTGGCCTTGCATAGTTAGAGTCAAGTCTTCTGCATGGCATAATCTAGGGCCAATGCAGTATGGTAGATAACAGAAAAGACTTGGGTTTACCTTCAGGTCATGCCTACAAACAGATAGAGTGATGGTAGTAAGATAAGAACCTGAGGCTGTCTAGCCGATTTCCTGAGTGTTGGGTCATTCATAGAGTTGCACACATGAGAGCTTTTGCATTCAGGCAGATGGATCAGTTTCTGTCTTGGTGTTTCCCATGCCTCGCTTTGCCATCATTTCCTTCAAGATGTTGACTGGTCTCTACCTTCCTTATTTCTCTAACTTCCTGGTGGTCTGTTTAATGATCCTGCCTGCTTGGGCTGCGTGGCTGGCCCCAGCTGTCATGTCAGGACACCTTTCTACGGCCTCATCTTGGGTGTCTCATCACTGTAATGCTTTAAATGCAGACTGTTTTGGTAAACTTCTAGGGTGCTTGTAGGGCTCTAGATATACTGTGTTCTTTGCTTTTCTGTGTTCTTTCCTTCTTTCCCATAGAGGAACTAACAATTGTTTCTTCTTTCTTTCACAGGTGTTTTTAAATGAGAAGTATTTAGGAGTCCTGGATCATTCCACTAATCAGCTATATATTAAGGTGTATATTAAGCTGTATATTAACATGGTATAACCCTATGTTAATGAACAGATAGTTCTAGTGCATGCTAGGCTGTACACTCAGTTGTAAGTGTGGCTTAGCCCTGGGATAGCCTATTTACTCCTCCACTGCCCTTTAGACTGCCCCTTGCAGAGGAACTCAGCAAAGACAATGGGAGGGCTATGTATATCTCTGAGGAACTGGTAGATAGCCTTTCAGTGAGCAGAGTTTTCCATTTTGAATATTTGCTACTTAAAAACAGTCAGTCACCAGTCCCTTAAGGTCTCTAATAAAATGATCAAGTGACTTTTCCTTCCTTGAAAGGCCTGGCCTGGAGGGTGGATGTGGGTGAAGAGGCAGAGCAGGAGCCCAAGGGTTTGCCTGGCTGAGCTGGAGGTCCATAGGTTTCTGAAGCCCATCAACCACCATTCACTCTGTTCAGGTCATTGGCTCTGCCACATGGGTAGCCTAGAAAGTCTGTGGTACTCACTCTTCTGGGTCTGCCTTACATAGGGCTTCTACGGCACTCACATCCTGAGGATCCTGGTGGAGAATCAAGGCCGACTTGCCTGTGGGCGTGATATGAGCAAGGAAAGAAAAGGTGGGCTCCAAGTGCAGATGCCTGAGTCATTGTGCTCTGAGTTCCTATGCCTCTTGCCCAAGATTGAGAGCACTTGAGGACAGGCATGTGTTGGAAGGGAACATGCTCTCTTAGCTGTGGGAGGCCTGCATTTGGAAACTGTGATGATGTCTTTACATTCTCTACTTACCAAACCAGTGCTACCACATGGCCCTTCTTCTTTCAGAGGGTTTTGAAAGTGGCTCCCTTGAGAAAAAGCTGTAGAAGTTATTTCTGGAGGAAAGTAATAGCTAGGGTCCCTCTCTAAGGACTCTGACTCTTCCATCTGTGGAGCATGGTACCTCTGTGTGTCCTTCCCCTGGTCCCAGAACTTCTGGACACACTTCACATACCTCCTACCTGAAATGCTTAGATACACTTGAACATCCCCAGCCAAGCTGTCCTGAATCCTTGTGTAGGAATTGTAGCGAGAATGGTGCTAATAAAGTGAAATAGTGTAGGTACCATCCAGGAGGTGTAGTGGATGGGAAAACCGCAGAATCTGGGTTTCAGGTCTAACTCAGAAGTAGGGTCTTGCCTAGCGTGCATGAGGCCCTGCCTTCTGTCTCTAGCATTACAAAACAATCAGGCAAAAACCAGTGTAGGAGACTGAAAACTTTCCAGACAGATAAGGCTAGGAAAGCAGACTCCTTCAGGAGAGGCTGTGGTAATAGCTGTGCATTTCTACTCCTTCCCACCTCCTTTATGCTCCCCCTTTTTTTTGCCTTCACACAGGTTTAATTGGGGATCTCTATCTGGACAATTCTCCTTTAAGAAACTTTGCAATCTACAGCCTGGAAATGAAAACTACATTCCTGAAAAGGCAGGTATCTGACCATGGATCCCAAATTAATCAACCATGATGGACATAGTGATATTCAGAGAGCTTCAGAGGGCCTGGAATGAACCTATGGTCTTCAGATAGGAGACAGAGAGCCCCAGAACATTGAAAGAAATTACCCCAGCTTTCCCAGTTTTCTGGGAACAGCACGGTGACCATTCTCCCAGCCCTGGTTTCATGTCATACTCCATTATACGCCTGAAGACAGCCAGCACCATGGTGGGGGACACCAGGCTCCTGGGAAGAGGCTAACTTCAAGGTCATAGGTAGCACAGTACAAAGATATGACCCTCCTGCTGGCCTTTGACTCCTTCTTAGGGACCTCCCCAACCTCTGGAAACCAGTCACAAAAGACGTTCGGGGCCCTGCATTTTTTCTTGCCTTCCTGAGAGTTGGTGATTTTCCTCAAGACACCTTTATAAAGCTGAAGGTTAGTGTCATCTCCTCTGCTCATGTGTCCTTCAGCCTTCACCATGCAAGGCACCTTTACTGAGAAGCCTGCCTCAGGTAGGGGATCATAGCTCCAAGGACCTCTGTCACCCTGCAGCCATCTGGGAGGCTTCCTCATCCCTATTTGGCCACAGGTAGCATTGAAATGTAAAAGTCAATGCAACCAAGAAGTAAGTGCCATTTCCAATAGCTAGCGAATGCACAGCATGGGGACTTTAGAGGGAGTGATCCATGAGTCCCCAGGTGTATCCCAGGTGTTGATCTGCATGAACTCACCATTGGATCTGTGACAGGATATTGTAGTGACATGCAGAACGTTTTGGCTGCCACAGCTGAAATTCTGCAACTCCAGCTATGTTTTGAGCTTGGTGTATTTTGATTAATATGCCACAAAATTCCCTCTCCTGGCTTGGGGCAGATATAGGGAGTGAAATAGAAGTCTGCCTTCCTTCCTGAAGCCTAAGGTCTCTCCACTCACTATGTATGTAGGGCCTTTGTTGGTAGTTCACCCCATCTGGGTTGGACTGTGCTAATCTTGGGTGTGCCAGTGGTGTACGAGTGGTAGTGCTATGTGTGTTCACTGTTCACGTCATTATATCTGAAACTCAAATCCTGACCCTCTGTTTAATGTTTTAAGGGCTGGAAGAAAGGAGTTATATTTATCAATGGAAGAAACCTAGGGCGCTACTGGGATGTAGGTCCCCAGGAGACCCTGTACCTTCCAGGACCCTGGCTTCAGCCTGGATCAAATGAGGTGAGTTCCTCCGAAGGACCCCTTTCTCCCCATGCACTTTCTTTGAATGCTGCTGTACTTGGGGGCAGAACTTGAATCTCATGCTGCATCATCTTCTTCCACTTGACAGATCGTCCTGTTTGAGGAATGGGCATCAGGCCAGCAAATCGAGTTTACAAAGGAGCCTTTCCTAGGTATGGTATTCTGAAGGTGCATTTGCAGTTGCTGATCTTTGTCTCTGGGGGAGAGAAAGAAAGCAGGGTGTGTGTTATGTCCCAGGACAGGGGAGCCTGCCTCACTGCCCATATGCTGTTGATAGGTCAGAGCCACGCTCCTCCCTCCCAATTGGAGGTGGACTCATTACCCCTCTTCTCTAGCAGACCTACCCCAACTCCCTTCCTGGCGTTCCCTCTGTGTTTCCAGGACCCTTATCCCTGTAAGCCAGTCCTGGCATCCTCCACTTTCTTCCTCTGAACCCTGTTCTCCCTACAGCTGTTTCTCAGGCCCTCATGTTAGATACCTCTTGTGCTTTTGTCAGGTTGTCACACGCAGGGAATGCACTGAGCGCGAGTGCTGAAAGCTTTGTGTCTGGCTCTAGTTGAGTGCTGCTGGCAGGGCGCTCCGCTTCCCTTCCTCCTGTTGTTGGTGGTGCAGTCCGTACATCCATTTCATGCTGCCTTCCCTGAAGAGCCCAGAACCCAGGGTGTTGTGCCTGCTAGGCAAGCACTCTACCACTGAGCCCAGCCCGTCATCCTTTTAGAGACTCACCCGCCCTTCAATAGAGCTTTTGAGATCAATAATCAAGGTGCTACGTCTCCACTGGCCAGGGCCAGGTCCCTCATGTGCATGCCGTGCACACTGGGCTAACCAGGTTTTCTTTTCCAGGATACTGAGTCTCCTGTGAGGTGGCAAGGTCTCCAGTGGAGATGGCCTGAGCTGAGGCGTGCTGACCATGGTGCTGCAGATGCCAGCAGTCCCAGCCCCTAGCAAACCGGCCTTTCTGTCCAGCCAGGCCTTGTGTGGGGGAACCATGCACGTCCTCACCAACGTCCCTCTTTCCATTGAATTAGCACGTCTGCTCCCGATGTTAACCACGGTGTGCCTCATCCTTTGCCAACTTGCTCTGATAGGAGCTATTTGGCCATCAAATAAAATGTTGAAAACCACAAGAAGATACTCAGAGTACTTCACCTCACAAGTGTGAATCTCAAGTGATCCTTCCAATACATCAAACAAAATATAAGGAGTAAAATATAAAAGTAAATGCAGAAAGTGACAGGCAGTTCATATATGCTTTGTGTTCTTAGGGTTACAAAATCAGTGTTTTCCACATACATTCCAGTTGTCTCTTTTTCTTTTTTCTTTTTAACTTTTTAAAATGTATTCAGTACAGGGTCTACAGGGTCTCAACAAAGATCAACTCACAGTGATCCTCCTGTGTTCAGCCTCCCAAGTGCTGGGATTACAGGTGTGTGCCACCACGCCCAGTCTGTCGCCATCTCAGGGCACCCTGGGGGTGGGGCTGGCATGGCACACTGGTGATCAATCCCAGGTCCTGGCACCTGCCTAAGCAGGTACTTTAGTCCACTGAGCTATCTGGCCGGCCCTCCAGTTGTCTTTCTGTGTCACTGGAGTTCTGTTCTCAGGAGAAAACTGCTTCATGGAGTTCTGCAGCCAACCATACTGACTCACAGTCCCTTTTGATTCCCTTGTCTATTCTTGGTCTTCCTATGCATAGTCATCCTTCTTAGTGATGGCAATGACTGTCTAAGTCTCTGGGCAAATCCCCCTAGTGGCCCGCATGGATGGGCAGAGAGGTGACTAAGGGGCTTTGTTTTTTTCAAGCCACTGCAAAGTCCAGTGTGGTGTGGACAGGCCCTCAGTCAGCAGCCAGGCTGTCAGGGACCTAGAACAGTGGCCCCAGACCTGTGCAGTGGTATTGCATGGAGGCTGCAGAGGGATGCCACACCTTACCAAGGGGGTCCCAGCTGCACCTGCCACTTGCACAGGGGCCACTGACCCTAATCAGCCCAGGGCTGAGAACTTGTATGTACCCCTTGCATCCATTTTTTTTTTTTTTTGAGAAAGGGTCTTATTATGTAGCCCAGACTGGCCTCAAACTCATGACGATCTTCCTACCTCAGCCTCCCAAGTGCTAGGATGATAGGTATGTGCCACCATGCCCAACTATCTTTTTGTTTAAAATTTAAAAAGAAAACATTTTTATGCACAAGCTTCCAGTATATAAGGCCTCCGTTCATTGTAAAGAATTGGCACACAGAACACATCTTAATTCTCTTCATTTCCCCTGTCGCTACCCCTTGGGTTCACACAGGTCAGCAGCCAGCAGCTGGTGCGGTGAGGACGTTATTTGAGAAAGTCGGAAGCTGCCTGTGCAGGTATTTCTGTACTTCGGTTGCTGCCCTGCTCTGCCTCCTGTCTGTTCTCTGCAGCCCCCCAAGGAGCAAGCAGCACAAATTCCGCTCCCTTCCCTTTTCTCCCGTCTCCCTCACATGATCCACAGGAGCAGGGTCAGGAGTGTCCTGTGTCACAGCCCTCTCTTCCATGAACCTTAGCGTGCATCCTGGGCCCCCGAGGGGTTTCTGGGCTGCACCTCTAGACTGACCTGGTAGCTCAGGAGTGGGGCCTGTGCACTGGCATTCCGCCATGTTCCCCCATGATGCTCATACTGCTGCTGTGGGTGCTATGGTTTGGAAATCTTTGTGAAAAGCAGGTTTGTACTCTAGTGCTTCTTGTCTTGGAGCCAGATCCTCCTTTGTGCTGGGGACTGTCCTGAAGGTGGTTGGCAGTACCCTCTGTCTACATAGCCCACGCAGTGTACCCAGACTTCACCATGGTCCTCTGAGGTGTGTCAGAAGCCCTCCCGCTGCACACAGGCCCATGATTCTCATGGTCTCAGGTGACATTTTACTACCCTGAAGAAAGGTACTAGAGTTGAGGCCTTACACATAAACCCTTCATAGATAAAAAGCAAAGATGAAGGAATTTGGGAAATCCTCTCCTGTTATGGTTTATGTCTAGCTGTCCAGTTGTCCCCCCAAAGCCTCATGCAGTCATGGGGTGGCTTCTAGAGCTTGTGATTAATTCATGATCCAACACTGGGATTATGGGTGTCAGCGCTGCTGGGATTATGGGAGTAAGTGCTACTGGGATTATGGGTGTGAGCGCTGCACCTGCCCCGGGAAAGACAGCTGGCTACAGAGTGAGGCCCGGAGAAGTTTTGCTCTCTCTCTCTGCTGCTGCCGCCACCGCCACCGCCACCACCCTTTTGTTCTTGCTGTTTTGCTGCTTCCACCACCACGAGCAGCTGCCCTCTGCCACATGCTACTCAGCCTTGGAGCCAGCCGAGTATGGACTGGAGCCTCCACACACTGTGAGCTAAATAAACCTTTCTTTTCTTAATTTTTGGTGCTGGGTATTTTGTCCCAGCAATGAGAGAAAAATAAATTGAGACATCTCCTAAGACAGTAAGCTGCCCTGAGACCCCTATCTGTTCTGCACAATCCTAGTTCTAAATGACAAAAATAATTTGTTAACCCCTTCCCATCCCCAGGAATTGAATTCAGGAAACACAGCTATATCCCTAACCCTTTTAAAATTTGATCTCAGTAGAGGGTTTCACTCAAGTTGTTCAAGTTAGCCTCAAACTTGCAATTGTCCTGCCTCAGCCTCTCAAATAGCTGGGATGGCAGACATGTACTACCATGCGAGGCAATCTTTATACTACTTTTTAAAACAAATTCTAGTCTTCCAATGGATGAATGGATTACATTAGGGTCAGTTAGGGTAAAGGTCATGTATGGTGAGAGATACGTTTAGGGTCTAGGTTTAAGTTTTTCACATGTGGAAAGCCAGTTTTACCTATACCATTTATTAAAGAGACTACTGTTCTCCCAGTGAAAGGGTTTGGTTCCTTTGTTGAATATAAGTTAGCTGAGTGTGCTTGGAGTAGTTTCTGCACCTGCTACTCTGCTCCATTGATCCCTGGGTCTCTCTGTCCTTCCCTCTATCCCTCTCTCCCTCCCTTCCTTGGTCCCTCCTTCCCTCTCTTCCCCCTCCTTCCCTTCTTTCCTCTCCCCCTCTCATTCAGTTCAGTGCTATTTTTAATCATAGTAGTTTGTACTATAACTCCAAATTGGGCATTGTGGTGCCCCCTGCTTTGTCCTTGTTGCCCAGAATAGCTTTTTCCATTTTAGGTCTTTTCTGGTTTCATATAAATGTTATAATTCTTTTCTCTAATTAGATATTTATTTTGATTGGGATTGCATTAAATACATATAACAGAGTTTTAAGTATGGACGTTTTCACTATATTGGTTCTGCCTATCCAAGAACAAGGATATCTTCCTTTTCTGATATTGTATTCAATTTTCTTTTTCAAAGTACTCTATTTTTCAGTGTACAGGTCTTTCATCTCATTTGTTAGCTTAATTCCTAAGGATTGCATTTTTCTTGATGTTATTGGGAAAGTGTTATTTCCTTCATTTTCGCTGTCAGTGAGCTTGTTACTTGTGTACAGGAATGGTACTGATTTTTGAGGGATGAATGAATTTGTTATTGATTCTGAGTATCTTTTGGTGAAGTTTTTGGGGCTTTCTGTGTAGAGTACCAGGTCATCAGGAAATAATCATAACTTATCATCTTCCTTACCCATATTACTTTTATTTCTTTCTCTTGTTTAATTGTTCTGGCTAATGTTTTGCAGATTATATTGAGTAGTAGTGATGACAATGGGGATCCTTCTGTTCCTGATTTTAGAGTGAAAGCTTTTGGTACAGACCATTTAGTATAACATTAGTTGTTGGTCTGTTATAGATGGCTTTTATCAGACTGAGATAAGGACCATTTGTTCCAGTTTTCTGCAGGATTTTATCATGAATGGGTGTTGGGTTTTTTCAAATGCTTTTTCTGTATCTATTGAGATAATCAAGTGGGTTTTTATCTTTGGTTCTCTTAATGTGGCATATTGCATTTATTGATGTGCACATTTGAACCATCCCTAGGATGAATTCCACTCAGTCATGGTGTATAATCTTCTTAATGATCTGCTACATTCTGTTTCCAGGGAGCATGTTGAGGATTTTTGCATTGATACTCATTAAGGAGACTGGCTGATAGTTCTCTTTTTTGGTTGGATCTTTCTCTAGTTTTGGTATCAAGGTAATGCTTGCTCCAGGAATGATCTGGAGCATATTAGGGCTTTACTAGAGGAACAGATATAACACAAGGTGGACAGATGTACAAGACGTTACAAGATTGGCTTACGATAGTCAGCCAGAGTCTGATGAGGAAGCATATTTAAGGTGTCTTCACTCCCAAGACAAGGATTCAGTCCAAGGTCTAAAGCTCACTGCAGTGTTCCATGCAAGTCTCTATCAGTTGGCTGTTGGGTCTGTGACAGAAGAATCTGCAGTAGAAAGCTGAAGGATCCAAGCCGAAGGCTGAAGAGTGTGCTGGAAGCCAGGAGATGAAGTCCAAGCTGCCTGTAAAGACTAAAGTTCCTCCAAGGAAATGGTATGTGGAATCCTCCCTCAGCCCCTTTGTGTGCCCTTTTGTGCTGAATCACTCTGGGGCGGGCCTTCATGCCCTTGGGTGGGCCCTCCCCACTGGAGTCCCTAGGGTCCAGAGTGTGGAACTCCCCAGGCGATCCAGCCAAGTTGACACAATGTATCAACCACTACAGTCTTCGTTGGTACATTTTTAAAATTACTTCTTTAACTTCATTAATTGATACTGGATTATTTAGGCTTTTTGTATCTTCTCAGTTCAACTTTGGTAATTCATATGTATCTAGGAATCTACCCATTTCTTCTGTGTTTTCCATCTTACTAGAGCATGAGTTCTCAAAGTAGATATGGGTGAACTTGTGGATTTCTGAAAGATCCATTGTGATTTCATCTATTTCATTCCTACTTACATGGATTTAGGTCTTTTAAAAAAATAAGTCTGTCTCATTTATTTAATCTTGAAAATATCCAGCTCTTTGATTTTTCGATTCTTTGTATTGTTTTATTAGTTTCAATGGCATTAATTTCTGCTCTAATCTTTATAGTTCCCTCACCATACATGCTTTGGGTTTAACTTGTTCTTGTTTTTCTAGAAGGTTTTCAGCATTTGAGGTTATTTATCTGAACTTGCTCTGG